GGGGGAGGGGGGGGGGGAGTTAGTGTATGAGTGCTTATTGCCCACCTCTGTTGGTCTTGGTCTGACATTTTTTTATTTTTCATTCATATGATAGTCAAGTTTCATTGACACTCTGCTCTATTCATAACATCTTTAATAATCTTAATTGCACGTTATACTTCAGGTCACACTCGTCTTGAAAGATGTACCCGCCATTGGCCCATAGTCATTAGCGATACTATCATTGGTAACATGATGCCGGTAATCATTAATCATCCTTATGTTTTGCTGTTGGAAGTACCACTGTGTGCATCATTACATCATTCATTATTATTACTATCTTAACAGTGCCACAACTATAACCAGGGCCACCTAGACAGTGAGAACCAATCAAATCGTAGAATGAAAACAATACATTCCAACTTTTCCAGCAATTCACCTTTCACTTTTTCATGCAACTGACTGTATTCTTACTTGGTAGTTTGACTGTCGCAGGCAAGGTCTATATGTTTTTGCTCTTTTTCTCAGCATCTTGAGCCACTGGTTTCTCTTATTATGAAAGAAACTCTCACAGATAAAGAAGTGCTGGACTGTAAAAGTGTGAGTACATAAAGTGTGTTGCTAATGAGTATGATAATGATTGATGATCATGTATGACGATGATGATTCATGATAGTATGGGTGGTGTAGTGGTTTACTGCTCGCCTCTCACCGCTGTTGTCCGGGTTCAAGCCCTGGCTCAAGCTGGATCATATGCGATTGTATCTTTGATTCTTTCATGTTCAGACATGATATTAAATGTCACATTCAGACAGGATATTAAGTAACATATGTGAGTTGAGTTTGTTTGATGTGTTGTTCTCTCATATGCCACAAGGGTTTTTTCTCCAGGTTCTCTGATTTCCTTCCTCCGTAAAAATCAACATGTGAGTTGAGTGTTGTATGTAGTGGTAGTGTGTGTGGAGGGAACCCTACACAAGAGCCCTGTATGGGGAGTGGTAATTGAAAATATATGGTGATAATGATTAATGATGATACATGGTTGTGATGATAAATGATACATCATGATATTACATGGTGGTGACAAAGCATGATGATGATACATGATGATGATACATGATG